CCCGGAAACGGTCGATGTCCATGAGCTCGATGAGATGTTCGATGATCTCTAAACCCCCGCGACAGCAAGACACCAGTCAGCGGGAATTCTCCCCTCTCCACTCCATTTTCGAAACTGGCTAGCCTTGATTGGCTCGCTCTCAACAGGTCACTCGCAACCTGTTTGCTATATCCCTGTATATTTTTTTATCTCTAATGCGTGCTCGCGGCCCTTGCCTTATCTCCGTTCTTGAACCCCCCTAGGCGAAAGCCGAAGCGCCCGCTCCTCCTGTATATATACTCCTACTATACCTCTTTCCTGTCCTCCGTCTTTTCTCTCTTTCTCACGCTCACGCTTACACCACGACTGACTTGATCCTAATGTCTGCGGTTTGCTCGTGAAACAATTCTGTTTGATTGTTCGGTCGGATTGCTCTGAAACGTCTCGCTTGGTTGGATCAATGCGGATGCGATTGTCGGCGTTCTGCGATGGCTACGTTTTGGTAGACTGGAAGAACAAAATTAAGGAAAACCGGAAGAAAAAAGAAAGAAAAGGAACTCCGGAAAACTGGGACTTATGTTGTGATGTCAGCAATCATGTATGTTTAGCGCCTGTGGCCTCTTGGAATAAAAAGCTTCCAAATCTCCCCGCAAGGGACTCCGATTTGATGAAAAGTTTCCTCGTACTAAGTAATCCATAATCCTCGCGGATTGTAAGCAACCCTTAAATTGATTGGAGGTTCGGGAGCAAACGCCATAAGTTGCAGTGACCCGTTCCATGGACTATTCGAGGCTTTCAGATTTGGAGCCCACTCACCCTGAATGGTTCAAGTTTGCAGGGTGGTGACATGCAGCGGCTCTCGCTCTTGGTTGGCCTGGCCAATCCTCCGGTCGGGAATCGTTCTCTCGAGTAAGATCCGAGGTCCATGATTCCATATGCCGAAGGTGATCTTCCTGATTGCTGCCTAAGCCATAAGTAGTGTAACTCACCCGTCAAGGTTGTTGACCTGTGAATAACCATTTTCTGTATGGTAGAATCTTAAGTTCTATTTCGAAAAATTTGAAAAAAAAAAAAAAAAAAAAAAAAAAAAAAAAAATCGAGCTGATTGATCACGCAGAGCGCAGCCAAGGT